TGGAATGGGTGAGATTCGGGTGACCCATGTGATGTACGTCATGTTCTTCAACGGATCTCATCACTTCTCCAACCTTTCAAAGGAAGAAAGGAATACGTTGTCCAATATCGACAACCCCTGTCTTCTCAGTCCTTGAAGTTGTATATGGTCGTTGATGCTCAGGGTTTTCCATCTCCCAATTTACAGTCGTAGTTCCTTGAAATGTCTAGCAGCAGAATCGGTACTGACCCACCCTTACACATGAGATCATAATCCATGCACTGCACTGCAGTTTTCAAATGTTTTGATTTAGCTCTCAATACACGCTCTTTGTTGAAATGACTGGACAGGACCATAAACCGTGACAAACGTCCTAGCGACAGTTATCTTCCAAGTCGTTACATTCAACCCAACATGAAAGCAATCAGGCTAAGAATAGCCAAGATTATACCCGAAGACATCGCCGAGCTGCGGCCTAGAGCCGCGTTCTTTCCCGTTGGAGTAGGGGAAGACGTGGAGGGAGTGGAGGTTGCTGAGGAATCTGAGGAGGTTGAAGTGGTAACGTTCTTGACATCAACATCAAAAGCAGTAGACACCAGACCAGGAGGCATTCCGCCATCTGTAGAAGACATCAGAACATTGGGAGATCAATTTGAACTCCGTCGTCACTCACCAACGAATGAGGCGCCACAAAGGTCAGTGGCATGATCGATGTCTTTGGTCGAGAACGAGCCGGGCATCGTCTGGTTCATCAAGGTGAACGCGCCCTTCATGCAGTCTGTGCAGACGACGCTCGAGGGAAACCCTTTCTTGACCAAGCTGGCGATCGAACGGATGTCCGTGGCGTTGAGATTCATGGTACCAGTAAGCGCTTCGACGTTCCTAAGCGTCCCCGTCACACAGTTGATGTCTCCACTGCTGGAACTATCTCTTCATAAGAACGCGTCACAGGTCCATACGAACAAATGAAGACTGACTCCTGTAAGCACGCGACCTTCCGCAGAGTCTGATAACCCGCTTTTACAGTCGAAATCATCTGCTGCGCGCGAGATGATGAGAGACCGAACTCTTCCGAACAGTTTGTGGTAAGGTTTTCCAGAACAGCAGATAGAGTATCGTCACTACATGCTGGGGCATTGCACATGCTGCCAAGCCAAGTGTCAAGATACGCAACGATTGACTCTGGGCCATTCCCGGCACCTATCATGACAGGAAGGAGTTGCGCGGGCTTCAGGCATGTACTGGCTGCAGGATCCTGTCCAATAGCCATGAGCGTGTTTACGCATCCAATCGAATATCTGGCAAGCGGGAAAGCGTCACGTCAGATACCGAGAGTAAGATAGCGTGTCATTTCTGAGTGGGACATACGAGTTTGCAGATACGAAGCCAACCAGGGCAGCGATCGTGATGAGGAAGAACACCATATCTGATTGAAGAGTGATGAGAACGACCGTTCAACGGTGTCGGGAGCAAGGGGAGATATCAAATCTAAAGAATCTTTCATGTGCGAGTGGTCCTTTTATAGGGTGCCAGTAGCGTTGCTAGGACTTCTGTTTCATCAACTCCTCAGGAGAAATTGGGATCAGAAGCAAGGGGCATTGATGAGATCGTTGATCCGCAGGTTCTGCAGACCGTTAAGCTCTGGTTTACTTCTTACTAGTATGTCGACCGGGAGCCCTGTGACTTCGTCGAAAGTAGTGAGCCAGCCAGTAGAGATAGTGGTCGAGCGACATTCGGCGTCAATCAAAGAGCTCGTGAAAGCAGGGAACCGGTGGTGACCGACAATCATACATACTTCATCACGGACATAGACGGGATGAAACATAACCAGAAGTTTGTGCGA